CTCTGTAAACCGCTTAGAGAGGGCTGAAAGCCCTAGGAAGCGGTATATAAGTCGAACTGCTATTGCTATTGCTATCTGGGGACGCTCTCCCCCTTTTCACCGTAGAGAAACGCCTTCCTTTCTGACCCAGGAGTTTCCAGATTCTCGCAGGATTTGCTGGATAAAGGTCGGGAAGGGAGGCGCACAATTGGGAACATTCAACGCAAGAAGCTTAGCTACGGCTCGAAAAAACGCAACCTTTGTGAACAGGACATGAAAAGCAACAGGGCCCGAAGCCACCTGCAGAAGGCCGGTATTATTACATGGAGGGAGGGATCTACTGCCACATTCAGTCCAAAACGGCATCGTCCATCACACAACGGTGGATTTTTGCGGCTGAGAGTAATCCAAGATTCCGGAGTCACTTGTGTTTTCACCACTTCAGTTAAAAGATAAATGATCTTCTTCTTCTTCTTCTCCCCCTCCTCCTCTCCTTCTCTTCCTCCTCCTCCTCCTCCCCTTCGTCCTCTTCTTCTTCTCTGCCTCCTCCTTTCTTTCTTTTTCTTCTCTTCTTCCTCCTCCTCCTCTTTCTCTTCTTCTTTCTTCTCCTCCTCTTGCTCTTCCTCCTCCCCTTCCTCCTCCCCCTCATCCTTTTCCTCTCTGACTCCTCCTTTCTTTCTTCTTTTCCTCCTCCTCCTCTTCCTCCTCCCCTCTTCCTCTTCCTCCTCCTCTTCTTGTTCTCCCCTCCTATTCTTTCTTCTCCTCCTCTTCCTCCTCCTCCCCTTCCTCCTCCCCTTCTCCTCCTCCTCCTCCTTCTTCTTCTCTGCCTCCTCCTTTCCTTCTTTCTTCTTCTCCTCCTCTTTCTCTTCCTCCTCCTCCCCTCTTCCTCTTCTTGTTCTCCCCTCCTATTCTTTCTTCTTTTCCACCTCTTCTTCCTCCTCCCCTTCTTCTCCTCCTCTCTTTCCTCCTCCTCCTCCTCCTCCTCTTCTTCTTCTTCTTCTCTGCCTCCTCCTTTCCTTCTTTCTTCTCCTCCTCCTCTTTCTCTTTCTCCTCCTCCTCCCCTCTTCCTCTTCTTGTTCTCCCCTCCTATTCTTTCTTCTTCTCCTCCTCCTCCCCTTCTTCTCCTCCTCTTTCTTTCCTCTTCTTCTTTTCTGCCTCCTCCTTTTCTTCTTTCTTCTCCTCCTCCTCTTTCTCTTTCTCCTCCTCCTCCCCTCTTCCTCTTCTTGTTCTCCCCTCCTCTTCTTTCTTCTTCTCCTCCTCTTTCTCTTTCTCCTCCTCCTCCCCTCTTCCTCTTCTTGTTCTCCCCT